CCGATAAATATAGAACCGCAAACTCACCTTCCTGACTACTTCACATTAGCCTGTCCACACCAAAAATTTTTTTATAACAATTTTATTTTTTATTTTTTTATTTTTTTTCTACATTCAGCGATTGTAAGTGGCCCCGGTTCAAACAGAATAATTTTAGCGGTTTTTATATACGTCATCTTTTCCTTAAAAGGCTTATCTTTAATGACCTCACATTTGCTCATATGTTTCTGTGCATTTTCGCGGAGGCGTAACCTAATGTATATAAGTTTGAGCATTCCGCTGTTATCGCTTCGTCTTCAGCTTCTTATCAGTAAATTTGGTAATTCGTAGGCCTGCCATTCCTATATATGTCGTTTATATTTTTGCCCCCGTCTTTTTTCCCACATAGATGTAGGCAAGAAAAAACAATACACTGCCTAAAAAGCGGAGGTGTGCTGCAATTCTCTTCTTCTGGAGCAGCTCAAAAGCTTGGAAAAAAAGTAGGAGAGGATAAGAATTGAAAGGCGAAACTCGTAAGAACAAAAAAGAAAAATGCATTACCATTCGTCTTCCCTAGGATCACCGCGTTTAGACAAATGTAAGGAATGTCACTAAGAATCGGGTTCTTAAGAAGAGAGTATTGGAAGACTCTTGAAGCTGTGCCAAATGAATTCAGCTAAAATGGAAACTGTATACAAGGACTGAAAGTAATGAAAAAGAACTCGGAATTTATAATAAACTAGGAGCAAGACACTCTCTGTATGAAAGACCGACAACAATTAAAAGGTTAAAAAAGTGATTATAAATAAAATGAGATGCAACGTCGTCGAAAAAGTTAAAAAATTACATCTTCATTTTGTATTACCTTCTGAATATAATAAACCGACGTAATTTTGTGGGGGACAGCAACAACACTTGCTCGTGATAAAAAAGATAAGTGAAATAAAGAGAGGATAAATTTTGGCAGAAGGGATGTTTCCACTGATTGATCGAAAAACGTTGTTGGTTATAGTATCAGCAGAATTCAAGCCATAAAAATTCACCTTCAAACGATAGTGATAGTCTTATTCGTCCAAAAAAATCTGTCATGTTGCACAAAAAATTGGCGGTGTAAGGGAAGGAAAAAACAGAGAAAGTTAACATTGTTATGAGACGAAAAGTAACAGATGATTTGAATAATAAATAAAGTGGCTTTTTTTCTGTATTTATATTATTCGCTTTAACGTCACAGTGTTCTCCGACAAAGTGAGAAAAGTATCTTTGAAACTAGGATAAGGTGATCACTAAAGCTGGTAAGAACTTCACGGTTACATTTAGCTGTTATTTGTGAGGAAGATGAGGAATTACCAGCTTAGCGTATAGAAATTGATACAAAGGAGCTGTAGCTTGAAATTAGCATGCTTTTCACACTCCTTGTAAACCGTCCCTGACAGCTCATAGAAACCCTCTAAACGGATAAACTGTAAATACTGTTGGCTCAGATATTTTTGCTCTGACAGTTTGTTATCCACAATGAAAGCTCAAACACAAGCCCCTTCAGGTGAAGAAATTCACAACCATCATCGCCACAGTTTTGAACCCCCAACCTGTTGCGCAGCAACAAGTACACTACCACTCCGACCAAGTCCAACCGTTCAACCATCCCTTTCAAATTAACTATGTTATACATACAACTGAATACTTCTGCATATTCTTCTGTTCTATGAGTGGTTGAATAGGCTTTCTGAATTGTTCATTAAAGTAAAAATTGACATCTTTTTATTCTTCTTTGCTTCTTTTCTTTTTTTTTTTTTTT